TCTCAGCATGCAGGCCATTAACAGGAAAGGGCCTTGGGATTCTGGGATGCCAACCTGCTCTATGTCTTTCCTTAGAGGTTCTGCACTTAGTAGGTGCTCGATATTTATTTGCAGCTTGATTGATTTTATAGGGAGACATTATATGAAACCTCAACTCTACAATTTCTTTTTGCAAATAATTCAACACCCTCTACTACAAAGACATCTAGCTTTAAAAAATGATTATCTCAAGTCAATTTTTTTTCTGGGAATCAGAAAGGAGCTCTCGGGCCGGCCGAGTGGCGCGATGGTTAAGAACTGGCTTGGGATGCCAGAGGGCCCCAGTTCAGATCCCACATATGAGGGCCAGTGACACTGGCCTCTACAGCTAAGATGCTGAACAACAGCTCGACCTGGAGCTGGGCTGCTGTGAGTCGCCGGCGACGGCGTAGGCTGCAGCCCCTGCTGCACCGGGTTGCCATGGGCTACCGTATGTAGCCAGCAGCCAGTGTGAGCGGCCAGCAGCCGCAGTGAGCGGCCGTCCAGAAGCCGGCGACGGATCTGCCTCGCCTGGGAAGAGCGCAATGATGGTGCCAACTTGGGCCAGTGAAGCAACGTCCTCCACAACTAGACTGAAGAACAAAACGACAGCAACTTGTCTGTTCCCCTTCCCCAACTCCCCAGTGCTGTTCCCATCCACCCAATTCCCCAATAAAAATCTTAAAAAAAAAAAAAGGTGCTCTCTGTAGAAAAACATTCACTACTCCCTCAGCATACACTGATATACAAAGCAGCAAGGGAAGGAGGAGAATATAAAATGGTGACTCCCTCTGGTGAAGAGTTAGGAGGAAAGTAGAGTCTTAGCAATAGAGGGTCAAGAAAGTAGATGGCGGTGACACTGCGTGAGGTTCAGGCCCGTTGGATTGAGCCGGGGTTGGACCAAGGGACAATCCAGGCAGGACACACTAGCACAGATGCTCTCTAGGTGCAGCTGTGGGACATCTTCCACAAAGGAGACAGAAAAGCAGGGCAAAAACCAAGGGGGAAGCCCCACCTAGCCCTCTTCTGGAAACTTCCACCGGGGAAGAGCAAGGCATTGTCCAAAAATCAGAGCCAGGGCACCTTCCTGAAACAGCAGAAACATCAAGGGTTGGGGAAGGCCCCACGCCAGATGGCTGCTCCTTACACCTCTGCCCTAACGGCTCTGATTAAAAGATGAGTGTCCAGTTCCTATCCCTTAAACACTGGTTATAACTATGTATTATCTGTAGATGTTCACTATTTAATTAATACTTCTTTATAACATATACATCTTAATAAACATATTTTGTACCATGATAATCTTTGCTTTCAGTTTTTTATTTCCTACATGGGTCAAATTCTTCCCCAACTCTGGCAAAAATTATTCCACACACATTCGTACTTGGTCCATATACACATTTTATAGTCCTTTAATAATAACTAAAATGTGCATTATGTATACCCTATCTTGTCACAAAGGGGATCTGAGGTAGCTAACTAAAATACATATGAACAAGAGGCTGAAAATTTTAAAAGTTAGAAAAAAGAGCAGGGTCAAGTGAAAATGATGATTAAATAAATTCACTACCATTTATATTGGTATAGCACTTCTTGGTGTACAGAGAAACTTCCACATAAAGTAATGATCTACTTCAGTTATTATTCTGCCTTATGTATCTATGCAACAATCCTATGAAGGTAGTAGAGTATTATGCTCACTTTACAGACCAAAAACAAACAAAAAAACCCTGAGATTCAATTCAAAGAGTTAAGTACTTTGCTCAAGTCTACACAAACAGTTAAATCACAAGTTAGACTGGAATATGGATCTTCTAGCGCCAGAGTCCATGTTCCTCAAAGCACATCATATCGTTTTCCTCACTACACAGGCCTGGTTTCCAGTCTAGGCTCTGCTACCAACTGGCTGTGAGTGCTAAGCATGTCCCTTCAGGTCTGGACCTCGGTTTTTTCTGTAGCAGGACAGGGCAGGGGTGTGAACTAGAGCTTTGTAAGATCCATTTCAGCTCTCATAATTACTGAACAGATTTTCATCTGTCATTTTGCAAATTGATGGCTTCTATCTATAAATAAGTTGGCTCTTGTAATTTTAATGTAAGAGTTTATTTTCAAGAAAACTAATTTTTGTGAGCATGATTAATTGCAAGGTTGTAAGTCAAGCTTGCACTTACATTTGGTTACAGGATTAATCCACAGACTTGTAAAATGTCAGACTTAGAAGGGATGGAGTCGTCATATGGTAAAGACCCCCTCATTTCAACTGTTAGAATCATTTTTTATGTTACACACACGTTGCAGGTGCCCCGGGATATGCTTTGTTGATGACTGCAGTCACAGAAAATTTGTATGCAGATACCAAAAGCAACTTCCAAATAGCAAGGAATCCAGCATATTTCAAACACTAATGGCTGAGACTGCATATTTCAGAAAAGCATTGGAGGCTCCATTCTCAGCCATCTCCAATAGCCACACATTAGTACTATTTTAGAAGTTTCTGATTATTTCCAACTTCTAAGAGTGAAGAAAGAAAATCAGCAGAAGGAGATCACCGATGAAAAGCAAAGGTCTTAGGTAGGCATCCCAAGTCCTAAAGAGGGCCTCAGTATTTGTACTTAATTGATGGCAGTTGTCATAGCCCTGAGTTTATTGCAGATCCAGTGATAAGGGGACAGTGCTGAGAAACACACTTTGAAGCCAGAAAGATACAGATTCAAACTCCAGCTCTCCCATTTGTGGCTGTGTGCCCATGGATAAGTCAGCCTTCTGAGGCTCAGTGTCCTCACCTGTGAAAAGGAAACAATGCTATCTGCCTCCTAGAGGGTATGAGGAAGATTTACTGCTCAATAAATGGTAGTTATCATTATTGGTGGTTTTATTTACTAAGAGGAATGGACACTAACCACAGTAGCAGAGAAGGACCTATGCCTGCGAAGTAACTTGTTATAGGAGAATATATTACCAAAGGTGACTGGCTAAAAAAATAGAAAGGCTTATTAAGTCCAGCCCTCGAGGAAAACAAACTCGCATCTCTCCTAGGCCTCAGACCAATGACACTTCTCTCCAGTCTAGTAAGCAGTGGTTGTAGAGAAGGCATGAACAGTATCAACACTGCATGCCCCATGATGGGACTAAGAAAGTTTGGGCAAGATGTTTCCTCCCATTTCTGCAAGCTCGGGTACAAGAACCTACTCAGGGGACTCTTTCCTTGCGCACAGTGGCTGAGGCGGCTCTCCACGACCAGCAACACTGCCACTCAAGAGAACCCCTCTCCTCCTGGCTATCTTCAGGAAGGGGCCTTGGTAAGGGACCTCTGGGGAAATCCAAGGCCTCTGCCATTCCCTTCCCAGGTTTCCCAGGTAGAGTAAGAATAACTATTAGTGTGGCAGGCATCATATGCCATCTGCCATCATATGCCTCCTAAAAGATTTTGACGGAGTAGAAGGGTAAATTAATGTAGTTAGGAGATTTCTGGCTCTGCTGGAAAGCTGATCATGAGCTTTCTTTAAGAAAACACTGAAGATTTTGTTTTCTCCCCCTTTTTCTCATAAGCCAGCAGGTGCACAGACCCTCCAACTTTATCCTTGGAGCCTGGAAGCAGCCAGAACACCAGGACACTCCAACAGCAGTCCCTGGTTCCCGGGAGTCTGCAGCATGAGCTGGGTTTTTCAGAAACACAAGAGACTTCGTTCTGCTTTCAGGGAGGAGAGTGTTGACTAGAAACCAGCCTAAAACCTGTCCCAAGTCATACAATCCAGCTGGCATTCTGAAAGGCCTATAGGGGTCCAGCCTGAAGACCCATAAATCATCGCATTTCCTTTACACTCATACTACCTCTCAATTCTAACATCAAAATGCTTTAAGCTCCCTTTCTAAAAAGCATGATTCTAAAAATAAAATGTATGGAAAACATAAAAATGTGTAGCCCAGGGGATTAAAGCTCACCTATTAATATGCTGGAAAAGTCAGACCCCTAAGCACAGTGAGAGAATAAAAAAACATGGGGTGTCTTGAATATTAACAACTTCCCCAAACCTAAAAACTGCAAAATGGAATAGAATTACTCAGAAAAAAAATTCGTCTCACATTTTTTAAAAAGTGGGCATAAGAAAGTCAAAGACTTGCCCTAAACTCTCAAATATATACATTGTGTTGTGTTGCTGAGAAAGCCTGACTATGGTAAGTGCATCCAAAATGGGAACGGTTCTCCCAGAATAGTAACATCTTACAGTTGCAGCGGGGCTTGGCATTGTGGAGTCCTAGCACTCATATGCACACATTCCCACAACGTGGGAATCCCACCTGTAGTAACTGCTTCTAGGGCCTTGGATCTGCTGCTAATATATTGGCATGATGGAAATGGTAAAAACTGAGGGAGCAGAGCAGCTCTAGAAAAATGCTTTGTTTTACCCCAAATATTAAAAGCTCTTGATTGAACACTATTTTAAAAACGCATACTTAGAGTGTGAAAGGCTGACCTCCACTCCCAGCTAAAAACGCACCCACGTAATAAATAAACAGTGCACCAATGTTGGCCCAGCACAGCAGTAACCTAATTCCTTTTCTTATCTTTCTTCCATGCAAACATACAGATTATAACACTTCTCCTTCCTAGGGTGCAAATTCATCATGAAGATGACCCCCACCCAGAAGGCTGCACCCAGCATTTTCTAAGCTGCTCCGAAGAAAGTTGGGGCAACACTGCAGGAGGTAGGGCCTCATACAGTAAGTGACTTGTGAATCTGACTCTAGCTTCTGGATATGTATGCAAAATGACTCTGAAAAATGACAACAGTAAAACTTGAAAAAGAAATATATGCATATTTCTTTACAATTCCTTGAGCCAACTTCTGGGGTTAAATGATGTCATAGGTAGAGTGAGAAATTCTTTACATGTTTTGTGTAACATGCACACACGTCAGCCGAGGTGTGGGTGTGTAGGGGTGGGTCTCACATATCCAGTTCACTCTTGGGTAACTTCTTACCTGCCACTGGTTTCCTGTCTGACCGGGCACATAAGGTGCCGGGAGGCTCCGAAGGCTGTTCTTCACGGGGGACCCCCCGAGGGGGTTTCCCACATCCCCAGAAGTGGAATCAGCAGCCAAGGCCATGGAGTACTGCGGGTAGTTGTACAGATTGTTGTAGTAAGGGAACAGAGACGGCTGGTAAAAGCTGCTGTAGTAGGTGGAGTCCGAAACCAGATCAGGTGTGTTCTCCACATGCCCTCTGCTGGTGACAGCAGGAACATCCTGGATGGCCAAACGTCCCTCTAGAAAGAAGAAAAAGAAACACAGTGTTAGTATGGGGAGCCACAAAACTTGACCTCTAAACCTTGGCAATGCATGGCTGTCCTCTTCAAGAACTGCAGAACAAGACACCTGGGCACGCTGCTTCTCCTGCAACCAAAACAATGGGGAGCTTGTAAAGGTGGCATAATTCTGGCAGCACAGGTGACAGACTCTTGCTGGTAATTTTTACTGAGAATCCCAAACACATTTTAAGGGTCATTTTAGTTACATGAAGCCTGACAAGTAACTTCTACCCAGAAATTCCTATCCTAATGTCAAGAAATTAGAGATCTTGTTAACTTGGTTGTCTGCAACATTCTTATACCCAAATTAACTGGACTTCATTTTAAATAAGGCAATAAAAAGAATCCCAGCACCTTGATGAGTATGGTAGCCACACAGACACATCAGAAAGCCAAAGCAAGAAGTGAAGAGTTGAAGCAAACATCATTTCCTTCACTTCCTTCCATAGCTGATACCTTATCCTTCCTAAGTCTGTACAATATTATAGACCAGGGATAGACAAACTTCTGCAAAAGGTCATCTAGTAAATATTTTAAGCTTTGTGGGTCATTCAGTTGCATACAGGTTGTTTTGTAGTTTGTGTTGCAATAAAACTTTATTCACAAACACGGGCAGTGGGCAGAAGTGGCCCACAGGCTATATAATTTGCCAGCCCAAAGTCTAGACTTTAAAACTGGGTCAATTCTGATAAATAACTAAATGGACTCCTAAGTCATCTCTCCAATGGACATTTATTAAACAATGTTCAAAAAGTTGGTCCAGGTGCCTAAAATGGCTACAAGGTGTCAGGATGCTCCTGTCCAAAGGTGGTCTACCGTCTAGGACGAAATATACGATGGGATTACAAAGAATAACAAGGATTACCACACAGGAACACCCATAAACCTTTACAGAAACTCAAAGGCTGAAAAGAGGACTTGCAGCCTAGAAAAAGAGGCCTTCATGGAAAAAAAATGCACCTGAGTTGCACTTTAAAACAGGACCAGGAATTTGATGAAAAATGAGAAGGGAGTAATGAGAAAAGGGCTGCAAGGACAAAGGAACAGAAGCAGAAAAGTGGAAGGAGAATTTGGGAGTGATGGACGGGGCATCAGGTTGAAGAACTGAGTGCAAGCGTGGAAGGAGAGGTCCAGTCTGAGAGGTGGGCTGGAGCAGGTGGGTGAGAGCGAGCCTCAATCCAGGGCTGCGGCCTCTTGTCAGGGTGCGGCACAAACCATGGAGGATTTCTGAGCAAGGAGCAGAGACACCAAGGGCGGTGGCTTTAGGGTGATTTATCTGATGGCAGTTCTTAAGACCAGGGGCAGGGAGATCCACGAGGGAGACACTGAAGTCGCCAGCGAGAGAGCTAGGAGACTCACACGAGAGAGGGGACGGGACCTGTGCCACTGGCACGTGGGAGGCGAAGCCCAATAGAACTGGAGGATTGATGGGACATGAGGATTTCAGACGCACAAAAAGGCAAAGCAACATAAAGCAGGTGTCGGGGAGAGCAGGAAGCCTGTGGTAGAGAGGGAGGTGGTAAGTGCTGCCTCATCAAGATGCCAGTGGGCCACGCAAGTGGGGGAGATGAATGAGGGCGAGAAACTTGACACTTGCACTCATGGGAGAGGCTGAGGCTGGAAGCTGAGGATCAGGAGTCACCTCCGGGAGGTGGCTGCGTCTGGGGACAGCAGGAGGGAGTTGTTACAGAAGAGCATGTTCTGAGAGAAGACAGTCAAGGCTGAAGTCATGGAGAACGAAGAGAAATGCAATGTCCCATAGGCCAAGGACGACGTGGATTGAGAAGAGGGCAGGCTGTGCTGTCACCGGCTGCTAAGAGATCAAGCCTAACTAGTTGTGGAAAAGACCAACAGAAAGCTAGGTTTTTAGGGCCCTGCGGTTTTAGTGGTTTCAGTCCAGAAGGAGCGGAAGCTGACAGGAGTAAGTAAGCGCTGAGGAGGCAGGAGCCATGATCCTTCTGTCTCGCCAACACGTAAGATCCAGCAAGCGGCACCAGGCCTGCTGGCTCACCCTAACACTCCCTGTGCCCAGCACACTGCCGGACACATGTGGGACATATTTGCAGAAGGGACAATGAACAATGACTTTTCAAGTAGCCTGGCATCAAAATAAACGTGAGGAAAACAACAACAACAAAAAAAAACAGAAGCTGTAGGGAGTAATAAGATGGTGTTATTTCATTTTTAAAACATAAAGAAGGGCTGTGCATATGCAGGCAGGGAGAAGCAGCCAATGGAGAGAAATTCCCAGGACAAGCAATGCACGGTCCAGAGCAGGTGCTCAGGAGTGTCCACCGGCTGATGTGTGGGAGGAGGAAGAGAAAACATGCAAAGGGGGGAGGGCATCCCTAAAAGTGTAAGGTTTGGGTGAGATCTACAACAAAATGGTTTTTACTGCCTCATTCTCAAGTCAGCACTGACGTCTCTTCTCTGAAAGGATACCACATCCATCCGCGCTTGGCTCCGTGAATGCAATGTCATGCCACTATTTTATTATATTTCTTCCCTTTCTTCTCTCCTCATTTTCCCAACTAATGAGATGAGAAATTCCAATTCCATTATTCTACACTGTATCTGGAGAAGGTACATGTCACTCTCTCCTCAGCTTCCCCACTTTTTCTCTTATTTTAAACACCAATTTAGTGACATAATAGGTGGTTTTCACTACCTAAACCTTTTGTTTTTCAACATGGTGTCTTTGTTGTTTGCCTTGGTTATAAAAGCAAATAGAAACTCTGCCAAAATGACAAATTACATGGATGTTTAAACCAGAAAAGGAATTAATGGCATATTCTTACCATCCAGTCATAAGCATTAGTGTGACAACTGTATACGATCTCATAGACACTGAGAAAAGGCATTTTCAGAGCTTATCCCTTCCCCTGCAGTGGAAAAATGCTGGGGATCCCTTAGGGCCTGACCTTCAAAAGCAAGGCTCTTAATAAAAACAAAATACAAAATACTGGAGCAGATAAAGAATTAAAGGGAAACGCAAAGACAGCAGCATTCTAGGATTAAGGCACAGGTGTTGATTTTCTGCATCATAACCTTAGTCGGGACCTTTTATCAGGCCTCAGTTTGCTCAGCAACAAAATGATGTAACGACTCTCAAGGTGACAAGAGAATGGCTTCAACAGACTGCACAGAAAACCTCAAATAAAAGGCTATGTCAGGTCACAGTAAGGATCTGTTTAGCTACAGCTGACTGTAATGAGTCAACACTTTCCCACTTAACCATATTAACCATATTTCATTTCCTCCTTCAAATTATATTGAATTAATATATTGGAAATGTCTCATTTCACACCAGTACTTAAATAATAAAAATCATTTGAGCTCATAAGAGTAGATGCATAAATATGTTACACTCTTAAAATGTTTACATGCTCTTAAAAAGTGACATTTTTAAAAGCACTGAGAGAGGAGGACCTGTTACAAGGATACATGAAACTACCAAAATCTGGATTTTATAAATCACCAAACAGTATTTTAAAGTTCCAAATTAAACCCCTTGGTCAATGTTAAAAACAGCTTTGTGGTTCCCATCCTCTTTGTGCATGAAAGTTTCCCAAGGTTGAAATAAACATCCATCAAAGTACATATGTCTAATCCAGTGGTGCTCAGAGCAGCATCCGCACAACTCGGGAACTTATAGAAATGCTCAGAGCCCACCCCAGACTCCCCGAGTCTGAAACTGAGGGTCAGGCCCAGCAATGTGAGTGTTAGCAAAGCTTTCAGTAGGCTGCGATGCACTAAAAAGATGGAGAACCACTGGTCTCCTCTAAAGACTCAAAGCAAGTGCTCCATAAATTATTCCCCTGACTGCATCATTGTGACAGTCCTGACTGGCTATCAAGTAAGAGTATACACATAAATTCCACTGAATAAAGATGGGCTTCTGCCTACATCACCACTGATCTCAGAACACAAAATATGTGTGCTGTACGTATGTGGCTGCCCAACGGTTCTGATTTTCATGGCCTACGCCCAGGTTTCCTTCATTTAGTCTAACCACAAAAGCTTAATTCATCCATTCAGGCACTTACTTCATTTATTAGGCACCTTCTATGTGCCAGGTACTTGATTAGGTGTAACATCATGGAGTCAAACTTTAATATTCCTCATAAGGCTTTCGGACAATCCAGACGAGTGGGTAATACAAAGTCATTTATTCTTGACCTTAAATTGTATTTATATTTGATTAATTAATTATCACATAACAACTATGTCCAAAGCTTTGCTTTAGATGTCAAACACACAAAAAAAATACTGAAAATGTTTCATTCCTTAAGAATGTGCCATCTATTTGGGAAAAAAAATAAGCATAGACTGAGAAAACTTCAAAGCAATAGTCTAACTGCCACAATGACAGTATAGGTAGATGTCACTATCAGCAGAGGCAGTGGAGCCAGGAGCCAGGATGGAGGTGATTTAGAAAGATGGTGGGGGTGGCGAGGCACTCCAAAGAGAAGGATACCATCAATAGGATCGTGAAGGAGAAAAGGACAGACATGTTCCAGGGACAGTGACCAGATGAGCCTGGCTGGAGTGCAGAGTTCATGTCAAGGAACAACAGATGATGAGACTGGAGAGTTACATGGGCCAGACTGTGAAGGCCTTCAACGTGAATGTCAGCTCAGGGCTTCCGATTTCTCCTTGAGCTACAGGGATTCAATGAAGGTGTTAAGAGAAGGGGGTAACATAAAAACGTTTCGGAAAATTCATCTGATCCAAGCGCAAAAGGCAGATCTAGGAGAAGAAGAAGGCAGGAGAAGAGCCAAGGCTAGAACAGCCTATGCTGTATATGTACATATATATGCTCTATAGACTAGAATGGACCAGGTTCTTTAAATACTTCAGGCCTGAACAGGTAATTAGGAGCTTGCACACAGAGGCTGGGGTAATCGAGGGAAAAAATGAACCTCATGAAAATCACTGGCATGTCTGGTGTTCTGGGA